ACAGCGACGTTCAACCAAGTACGCAAAACATAAGAACATCGCTTTAAATGCATATACACCATTTTCAGACAAGTTACATGCAAAATGATCAATACCTGTTATAAAATCAAAGTAATACTATGGAAATTAGATTTTGACACAGGCGTACAAAATCTCATTCTATTTCAAACCACCCCTCCGACAGGGAAATAGCGAAATTGCATCGACAGACTGAGGAAAACAAAGAGAAATCTGAGAAAGGATGTCCGGTTTCGAGGCTGGTATTCAAACCTGGGTCTTACAGAGAGGGGGACAGAACTGTTCTGTATACGCCCAATGGTAGGTGCAATGCGTCGCTTATTGTCCATTTAGACCGCTAGAGTCATTTGCTTTTGAGGGAAATTGGGCCTTATGTGACAATGTTTATGAGTATGTGTGTTCAGGACTTTAGATGTCCCTCTTATTATTGGCGGGTAATTTTGTAGTCTCCTCGATAGCAATACATAAAATAAAATGGAGAAAATGATGGAATATAAAATGCAGATGTGTTCTATGGGTACTGGATGTGAGAATGGGACGCGAACGAAGCTAAATCCTCAGGATTCTGTCCCTTAGACGGCTCTTGTATTAGCGGTGTTGAACCTTCAGAGTTGTTATAGATAAAGGCTATTATCTGCAACATGGATGGATCGATCAACGTTCTGTGTGGATATCGTTATTAATGTTTTTATTTATTCAGTAAAATAAACGCAAAGACTGAATTGAAATTAAATACGCGTTTTATTACAGAATGCAAATACAGCATAAATGCAAATATGAAATTCCAGGAAAACGCAAGACAGAATTTGTTCACAACCGTGCAGAATTACTGGTAACATTATACTAAAATATTTTTTCAACAAGTGGTTCTCAAACCTATTTCAGCCGGATAGAAAATTCCAATTCGCGTCATATTACCATGGCTGGAGACATTATTATTATGCAACTTACGCCTCATCTTTTAATAATGTGCAATTTTAAATGACAATATTCCCCTTTTCCTCTTAAATTAATCAACCATGACCACGACACCCTGCATTGCAAACAGGGTCCCAAGGCATCTTCCACCCCTGCTGCGATACACACCCACTCAGTAGAACCCCATCAGCACAGACGACTCCCCGTCTCTGGATCCATTAAAGGGATGTAATTCCTGCCAGCTCCGTACTTATCGACTGGTCATTCTAAGGCTCGGTTCACACCAACGAAAACCAGGCCCTGAGTTTCCCCGCATATCACATCTCTCTCTCAAAAATGCAACGTCTTGTAAGACGTGTGGTGACACGATACAGTACCTTTCCGACATTCCATTCATCATGCAGTAGGTTCCCGTATCACTTAATTCACCAACAAATTTCTTAATCAATTCTGATCCAGTTTTAACCCTTTCAAACTCTGAAAACAATATTTCGTATGCCAGGATATTACTTTACTTTCACGTCATAACATATAGGAATTTTAATCCCGCACAGTGAGAAGGCACAGGCCTCTACTTTCTTAATCCTGGAGCCTGTTTCTGCTAAAATCGGCTTATTTTCCTTTAATTTATACATCCCACATCATTGTGTATTACACCACACACACCACAGAATTTCATAACTTCGATATGACAACACCAAATTTCTCTATGCAACAAAGGAGTAATTTACAAGCTTAAGAATCTCGAATTCTTTGGTTTTCTCGTTTTCACTAACGATTTTCAAAACCCACGCTGATTTGCCCTCCGCTGCTATGGGAACGACTTCCCTTGAGTATTCATAAAACAGCAAATGAAGATGAGTAATACACACAGCCGTGGGTTTCTCATTGGCCCTTATCAAGCAGGAAATGTAATCTGTATAACAGTGGATTTTAAAATCCTTTCATTGTCATAACCTTTCAAACCATCCATTTTTTCCCATCAAAAATGTGATGGTGTAGATGTTTAATGAATGCACGGAAGCCGAGGCTTGGATCAGTAGATGGGAGTGGATGAAACATGCAATATACGTATTTCCACCCTGATTACCATATTCATCAGTTGTCAGCTGAATATTCAGGCTCGTGTTATAGAAGAGGCAATATATGACAATTTTTGTAGGAAGAAATATGTCTGTACAAAATATAAATCATTTTAACAACTGTACCTACATTATAAACAAACAAATGTTTCTTTCATATCGATATTACTGTCAAATAACTTTTATCCAATTTCACGTTTTTTAAAAATACTTCCAGAATATAGTGACTTTGGTACAGGCATAAGAAATTTACTCCTGAACACGAAAGACTGTTTCGATACATTTCGGATCAATACACTGAAACCGCTGTCTGAAATTACAAACTGTGTTCTGAATCCAAGTGTCGGTGTTCAAGTGCAAATGAAACCTTTGTACGTAATTGTATAAATGCAAATTAAGTTAATAATGTAATAATTACAAACACTTAGGAAATTTGTGAAATACAAATCTTGGTTAAAACACTGCTCTGTATGGTACATATAACGTATCACAGAGCGTTTATTTCAATAGGAAGAGTTTATTTTTCGTTATATTTTCCCATCTTTTGCTCTCATTTATCAGTTTAAACTTGTATCTCTTCCGTTATTTCTCTCGTGTTCCTTTCGCGTTTATTTATTCTATTTAATGTCTGTCCTGCCTGCTTTCCTTTCCGTTATCTCTTTCGTATCTTTGTC